ACTCCCAGAATTCCCCAGCCAGCGAATGCTGGCTGGGGAATTCTGGGAGTTGAAATCCGGACATCTTCAAGTTGCCAAGGTTGAGAAACACTGCACTAATACTGTGCTTGTGAATCCTGCGTCCAGTCCCGGTCACCATGATACAAAAAAGATGTTGAGACTTTAGAAGGAGTTCAGAGAAGATAAGAGAGCTTCAGAATAAATTGTACAAGAAAAAGTTACAGGAAGTAGTACGTAGGCTAATGAAGAGAAAGATGCCTGAGGGACAGGGTGGGACAGAATATCACTCTTCCAATACTTGAGAAAAGAGGGGTCGATCTATTCTCCAAAGTCCCTGAAGGCAGGATGAGAAGCAACGGATGGAAACTAACCAAGGAGGGAAGCAACCTAGAACCAAAAAGAAATTTCCTAACAGTGAGAACAATTAATCAGTGGAACAGAAATTGCCTCCAGAAGTTGTGGGTGCTCCATCCCTGGAGGTTTTCAAGAAGAGACTGGGCGGGCAGTCGAAGGTCTCCTGCTTCAGCAGGGGGCTGGACTAGAAGACCTCTTAGTCCCCTTCCAGCCCTATGATTCTAGGTACTGTGAGGAGTGTCCTTCTCTGAGCTGTGCGGTTGAGGAGATACCCAAAAGTAGATCCAGCATCCCTTCTATTCATTGGCTTTACATCATACCTGTGAAACAAAGATGGGTTCTCCGTTCCAAATATCAGCTGCCCCAATGTTTCCCCCAGCAGCTCATGCTTGGCTGCGCATAGGCCATGATGCCACAATTGCGGTGACATCACGACTTGAGGTCATGGCTGGCCAGAATTCTCGGCCTAAGAAAGAATTGGCTGGAAGGCCTAACAGGCACAAACAGAACAGGGTCTGTGCAAGTTTACCCACCGGGGACAGATAGGGTGTTCGGTTGGCTTTGCCAAGGATGCAGGAGCCTTCCAGAGGGCACAGGGGGCACCGTTCTCTGCCCACTCACCCTCTTCTTTTCTTTCCGCCAGGTCGGAGATCAACAGGTAGCAACGCAGCTCAACTTTTCAGAGATCAGCCAGAGGAAAAAACATCAAGGTAGTAGCAGCTCATCCTCCAGGCCTGGGCATCGTTTCAATCGGCTTTTGACATCTCCAGTAGGTTTGACCGAAGACAAATGGGGCACTGATGATCCTAGACTAACCAGGGTTAAACCCCCATTGAAACAAAGCTTCTTGAAACATGGCTTCTTTCCAAAACTTAGTCCCGGTGTGAAGGTTTGGGTCCAGTCCTCAGAAGAGGACAAGGGCAGCGGTGAAATCCAGCAGGTTCTGGAGAACCAGTAGCGGAAATTTTGAGAAATACGAAGGACCAGCAAAGACCAATTGTGGCTGGCCGCAGAGTGGGGAGGGAATGGAGATTTTTGCAGTATCCTTCTTCTGCCACGCCGACCAAGCCACGCCCACAGAACCGGTAGTAAAAAAAAAATGAATTTCACCACTGGATAAGCAACTGTCAGCATTCCAAATAGCATCCAAAAGTAAATCAAGAGTCCAAGGCAAAGTATTGCTCAAAGTTCCAATTTATCAAGAGAGCCATGTTGGCACTTCTGGGAAAACCTAAATCTGAAAGCTTCCCGGTTTTCCCCACCCGTGGAGATTCGGACCCTCACCACCCTCCAATCCTTCTGCGCTGCTGTAAAGATCTGGCTGTCCCGGCTGGCCTGGGGTTAAGATTATAGCCCCACTCGAATTGTGCGATTGTTGTGTTTTCTTTTTTTAACATGCTGTATTGTCTATTGTTTGTTTTTCCCCCTCCCTTTTGAATTGTGAGCCGCCCTGAGTCCCCTTAGGGAAAAGGGCGGCATACAAATAAAGGCAAATAGAAAAGAAGTCCACGAACTTGCCCCCACAACCACAAGTCCATCCCATGGTCCAGTCTTCCACTGCCATGCTGATAATTCCCCCATCCAGTTCCGGTTAGGTGCAGAGATCAAAGACAAAGGATGACCTTGTCTTTCCAGAAAGAATGTTGTTATGGCTACGTAGCATCTAACCCCATACAATCCCCCCCTCCCATTTTCCCACCATAGAAAATGCATAGTACTGCAGGCCACTTCAGCTGACTGTTATCTGCAGTTCAGCGGTTCTAATCTCACCGGCTCAAGGTTGACTCAGCCTTCCATCCTTCCGAGGTGGGTGAAATGAGGACCCAGATTGTTGTTGGGGGCAATATGCTGACTCTCTGTAAACCCCTTAGAGAGGGCTGAAAGCCCTATGAAGCGGTATATAAGTCTAACTGCTATTGCTACTATTGCTATAGTAGAAGAATAGAAAGCGTGGGCGGCCAAAAACCCAAAAGAAAAGAGGGCTGCAGTCCTCACAATTCCGAGGCAAGACGTTTCCTCAAAGAACATGTTTATTGCAGTGGTGAAATTCAATTTTTTTTTACTACCAGTTCTGTGGGCGTGGCTTAGGGGGCATGGCAGGGGAAGGATACTGCAAGATCCCATTCCCTCCCAACTCCTAGGGGAAGGATATTGCAAAACCTCCATTCCCTCCCACTCTGGGGCCAGCCAGGGATGGTATTTGCAGGTTCTCCGAACTACTCAAAATTTCCGCTACCGGTTCTCCAGAACCTGCTGAGTTTCAGCCACGGTTTATTGAATATATCATATTGGCACAGGGTGGTGAAAACCGACTCTGGAGGTTTCTACGGTTTTCACCTAAAAGAGGGCTTCAAGCCTGACCGCAGCCTTATTTCCTGACTAAAGCAGGTCCGTAGAATTATAGCTCAGGTTTAATCTCTCGCAGTTCTCTACAAAGGTGCATTTTGGGAAATAAAAGCTCTGGGGATACAAGAATTGAAGAGAAGGTTTAAAACTTTTCTCCTCGTGGGTCAAGAGACGAACTGGCTGCAAGTTCTTATCGAAAAGGGATCAAAACAAGAACCATTTGCAAGAAAATCAATAAGGCAGAATTGATGCACAGCAAATTCACAGGAATTAGTGTTTTCAATAGATTAGATTACAGCGGTCTCCAACCTTGGCAACTTTAAGACTTGCGGACTTCAACTCCCAGAGTTCCTCAGCCAGCAAAGCAAAGCAAAGCTGGCTGAGGAACTCTGGGAGTTGAAGTCCGCAAGTCTTAAAGTTGCCAAGGTTGGAGACCCCTGGACTAGAGTATCTTAGCTCAGGGTTGAACTGTGGGGTCCCCGGTGCCCTCTGAGCTGGGTTGTTTTCTTGCAGACGTTTCATTACCTAGCTAGGTAACATCTTCAGTTTTAGAAGGCTTTGTGGAGTGGAGGAAGGAGGAGAACTGTGGAATCCTTTGGGGTGAACCTGATGGTTTTCTTGCAGGCATTTGGGTTTTTTTTTTTGGCAAAGGGACTTAAATTAGTAGATCAGCGAAATGATGTGGACCTAGGAGCCGAGGTGGCGCAGTGGTTAGGGTGCAGTACTGCAGGACACTTCAGCTGACTGTTATCTGCAGTTCAG